TCCCTCGACAAGCTGGACCTTCCACAGCCTGATGGCTGCTCGACGGCTCACTCCACCGTTCGATCTAAAGCAGCTTCTACGATTGTTCGATCGTTGCATTTTCGCCATCACTTCGGTCATCGATTTTTCAAATGCGAAAGTTTGATATTCGATGCTTTTTTTTTCTTTTTGGTATCTTTTTTTTATTTATTTTTTCTTTTCTATTTTTTTCCTTTTTTTCTTTTTTAATCTTTGAAAATTATTCTAGTTTTTAAGCATTTTTTTTTAGTAGTATTTAAATTTTTGAGAATATCGAGGTAAATGGGGTTTCCACTTTCATGCGAATCGATTATATATCTCTAATTATTTCAAGTTTTGAGAATATTTATCTTTTATCCTTTAATTACAATTATTGACAATTATTTATATATTCGCCCTTTTCTCTCTTCAAAATGATTTCTTCTGTTTTCAAAATGTTCTAAAAACTCGAGCAAGTAATTATCCAAATAACGTTTCTCATTTTCAAACATCAACATTCATCAATAAAATTCTCTCAACTCAACAAAATATTCAATTCCAATCGACTTTCCGGATCAAACTTCCAAATCCTCGCGTGTTTTATCCAAACACGTACGCACGTCTTCAAACTTTCATCGACGTGTCTCTATAGCGATTTCCAAATCGCTAATAGAGCGCAAACTCGCCCTTCTTCGAAATAGTAAAATATCCATAGACACGCCGCCAATTTACCGCCGAAAAACAAAAGAATCGCGGAAAGGCACGCGTGGAAAGGCAAACGCGGCCAAAACGGGTCTCCTCCTATTCTTTCTCCACCCCTCTTTTTTCGCGCGAGGGGCGACAGCAAGGGGTGAAAGCGGCACCGAAAAACGGCGGCGCCGCCTGAACTTACCTATCCCTCGCCAGATCGGGACGTATCAACTGGTGGGGCACAGGGTGGAATAAAACACGCTGGAAAAGACGCGACGCGGCGCGGCGCTGTTCGACACACGAATTCATCCCCTGCGCGGCGAGGGGGTTTGCGCGGCCGCGGTCTCATATGTGCGTGGCTGGCATTATATCGCGGAACAATCGATACATGCCGTCAGCACCACCAACTCGCTGCTCCACGAACTAAGCCAACCAACCCTTTCCATCTTCAGACCGCAAACTATCTCGTCTTCGGCGGTCTCTCGTAACCGCTCGGTTCGACTTGGTTCAATCGGACGATGATGATTCACGAAGAATATTTGTTGATTTTCCAGACGAAAGCAAGTCGATGAAATTTTTATTCCTTTTCATTTTTTAAATTTCTTTTGAATTTTATTCGATTTATTAATATATCAGGGTACGTATAACGCGAACATATTAACGGTCTCCGCATTAATCTTTTGCAATGTTTTTTAATTTCTTCTTTAAGACGTTATAACTAATCAATGATTGCAATTTATATATATTGTTATAAGTTTTAAATCAGAAACTAATCATACATGTCAAAATAATCATAATCATAATTCATAATCACCAAACCTTTACGAAATTACTTTACTATTCAAAAACCGTTTCGTACTCAATAGTCTAAAAACTCTGAAAAAAAATACATCCAATAAACTCATCTCGTTCCGTGCACCCTCCTGCAAAAAAAAGAAAAAAAAAAAAACAAAAAACCTTCGCAAACCTCCGCCAACTCTGCTCGCGTCCGAAAAGTCGTCGCGCAGTCTTGCGAGACGGGGAGGGAGGGGAGGAGGAAGAAACCCACCACCCTCCCCCCTCGCTTATAACGGTCCGTTTGAACGGCCGTGCACACCGCCAGCGGGCCACTCTCGACGAGACATCGTAACAGACCAAAGGTGTCGGCGTGTAAGTATCCCCTAGAAAACGGGACGGCGTCGTCGGGGGTGGGCGAGGGGGAGGGGGCCGGATCGGGTGGGAGCCGGCCGGTGGCCGAGAAGAGGAGGAAGCGAGGCGGCCAGTTCCCCGGGCAAAAGGAGGAAGCCGAGTGAATTTTTTATCGGTAAAAACTCCATTAGAGAGAGAGAAGTGCCGGTGTTTGTTATTGGTCATCCTCGGGAGGGAAGACGGCGAGCTGGAGGGGCTTGTCCGGCGCAGAGATATCCATTGATCCAGGGGATGGTAGATCGCGAACGGTACCACGGCTCTGGCATCCCCTCCTTGCCCACCAGCCTTCCCGAAGCATCTACAATGTTCCTTTCGTGCGGCCGCTATCAAAGAAATCAATTACCCGGCAACACGCGCGAGTTCCAAACCCCCTCCCCCTGCGCCGCTGCGAGCTGCCCCCGGAGCGGGAAACGAGAGGTGTATATGGGGGGGTTGAGGCGTTGAAGGAGGAGGATCGAGGAAAGGGGCGGAAGGTGGAACACCGCTGGCCGTCGCACATATTTATTTTATACTGGCCGCTCCTTACGCCCCGGCACCGATGGAATCCTTTATCAAGTTGCGCCCCAAAGCGCGGAGAACTCCGCCTTTTTCTTTCGCCGCGATCGATGGCAGTGTACCCCCTCGATACGAGACAACTCTCGATACCCATCCCGAATTTCGAGTTTCCTTCGCTCTTTTGCTTTTCATTTTCACACGATTATTATTATTATTATTATTATTAATTTTGAATTATGAAACGGTGTAGAAATTCGTGAATTCGTGAATATTATTAGGGGCTAAAATGTGTCGATGTATGTATAAATAATTGTAACGCTATCGTTTTCTTTACTTTCTCGTCTATCGTTCTTATCATTCAATATACGTATTTTTCAAATGTTCAAACTAGATAAAATGAATGAAGATTTTCAACGTGAAGCACGAGTTGTCGAATATCCCTGATTTCTGGAAAATCAGGCGGACACGTCAAGTTGTGACACGGGGTATAGGTGGGGCTGATCAGACAGGTGAACGAGCGAGGGTGGACCAGCACGATGAACGTCGGTCGGCTGCAGGAGACCGATAGGATACGGCGGGGATGGTGGTGTAGGATCTCTTGACGCGTGCATCGATGTCCACTGGCTCCCAAGGGAAATCCACTTCATGATGGGAATCCCATTATTTCCCGAGCGATATAAAAGTAGGTAGTCCACGTGCTGTCCAGTTCAGGCCATTCCACTAGCCCTCTCACCCCCGACTCCCCCTTTCCGCCTATAGCCACCACCGCCACCGTCTCCTTTCAACCGGGGAACACCCGCCCCACCTCTTCTTCCTCCCTTCGCGATTGTCTCTCGATCCATTCGCAATTCATTCTGGATTCGAAACTGCCCCCGACCAAGACGACATCGAGGGTAAATCGTTTTTACTTTGGATTAATACGTCGTCTTCGCTGGAAGAGAATGGAAATCAAATCGTTTTCCACCGTGTTTCCTGTTTGAAATTCTTGTATTCTTGTTTGAAATGTGAGATACATTACAGAAGTAATGATTCTTACAAACTTATAGATTTTCAAACTCATGAATTTATTTTCGAGAATTTATTTTTTATATATACAGTACTTTGCCGAACCTCTGATCGATAACTTTATATTTTTGCTTAATACAAGAAGGGAAATAGGAAAATATTTTTTTTGCGTATACATGAAAGTCGATAGTTGATTGTGATAAAAATAAGAAATAAAAATATTTTATTGTTAAAATCATATCAGAGTTGCAAGAGTTTTTTTTATCTTTATTTTTTCCTGCCGGCTTTTGATTGTCATTTTTATTAATACGAAGTGATAAGTGAACAACGACGTGAACACACACAATATTTGTTTCTTATATTGAAATTATAATTGCCAAAAATATTTCAAATTTGGATGGAAATCGATTTCAAATTTGTCAAGATTGTCAAATTTCGGTATATTTTTCCATTAGAATACATGCAATTCTATTATAATTGTAGCATACAAGCAAGGAGAGTGAATAGAAGAAGAAGGATAGAGATAGGATAAAAATTATGGAATCAGCGCCATCTCTAGAGTGCCGTAAATGAAACACAGAAATAAAGGATAACAAATAGTAAGAAGAGGATAGAAATAAAGTAAGAATTGATTGCTAGCGCCATCTTTTGAGTATTAAAAATATCTCTTAGAAAAATAAGTTAGATAGATATTCAAGAGATGGCGCTGATACTTCTCTCTCTATCTTATCTTAACTTTGAAGAGATATCTTTGGTGCTCAACAGATAGCGTTAAGAGATATTTATTCTATTTCTATCCCTTTTTTATTTGCACTCTTTATCTATATTAGTTTCATATACTTTAGAGATGGCGCTGATTCCATAATTTTTATCCTATCTCTGTCTTTCTCCCACTATTTGCTCTCCTTGTCTATACTTTTGGCGCGTACAATCACGATATATCAATTCATTATTTCTCTTTTAAAATGTTTAATCTTTAATGTAAAAAATTATAGATATTATATTCTAGGTTTTATAATATATTTCTAGAAGGACAATCTTGGAATAACAGCAATGATTTAAAGCCCAAATTGTCAGTAAACTGAATAATGATAATAGAGAGTATTGATATAATTACCTTTTGTTTCATAAATTAGTTTCATAAATAATTTAAAATTTTTATTTTCTGAATCAAATATATTATAAGCATTGTAATTAATTTTGGCACAAATTCATATTTATTAAAAATAATCTTACCGTTTAATATATAAAATATATAATTCTTTTCTTAAGTGCATTTCTTTATCTCTTCTTCTAATTTCTAGATATTAAAATTCTCACTTAGTTCTGATAATTATATTAATTTTCACGAATATATGTATTAATATAGAAGAACTTTTTATGGATCTCAATTAATAATGCTATAGCCTAGTGTTATATTTTGTCTGTAATCTTAACAATACTACGAACGAAGATGTCCGCTCTGGCGATTTTGGCGCCCTAACTTCAGGTAGTATATAGAGGGAATTGCTGCTTTGAGTTTGGACACTCGTTTAACCTGTTTGCAGTGTGACAGAAGATTTAAAAGAGCGATAAGTGTTTTACAAAGCTTTATTTCGCTTAAGACATACCAAAACATCGTGTGGAAAAACGAGCATACAAAGAGGTATATTATAATATTTATTTCTTTCACATTCGCTTAAACAAGTTGCTTTTGTTTATCTGAAATACATAACCTATGTTTTTATCTATACATTTATTTAGGAATTAATAGTTTCCAAAATTATTTCTTATTATTTAATATTATTTTTTTAACAGGTTTTATGTTAATATTATATTTTGATATTTTTATTTAGTATAAGATCGTTATTAAATGACGATACACATTTGCGCGGACTTCTAACCTTTAAATTGAAATGTTATTTACCGATCACTTGATTCATATTTGCTTAACATTTTTTAATTTTTCGTGCTTCTTACATATGAAAATAATGTTTCTAAACTTAAATTTATATATTATATAATAAATTTTATTTAATATATAATAATATTTATATGTATATTTACAGTGATATGAAGAAGGTAAAACTGTGACAGTGGGAATTAAACATAAAAATAGCTCCGGTGACGACAGGAATATCTAACCTTATGCCCTCGGCTACCGGTATGTATTAATTTACAATACATTGTAAATATATAAATATTTACTTTTTTTTACAAATGTATTGCTTTACATATAATATTTTTGTAACTTCATCTTAGATCAACAGGAATTACAGTAAAGTTTAAGTCAAATTAAGCCTTGAGAAGTGTTGGACTTGACACATATTTATTTAAGTTAAATAATAATTGATTGTATAATGAATACCAAAGGTATATGCCAAAGTTATATGACATTTAAATAATGAATGTGGCACATACGTATTGCAGGAACTGTGAAGCAAAATAGATAAAGTACTTTGGATTTGTGTGGATGATATTACGTCAAACATCCTTCCAGAAGAACTACATAATTGAAGTCCTCTTTGAAAGTAGTAGAATAGATTAAAACATGCAATGAAGTTCCCAAGAAATATTCAGTCGCTGTTGCTGCAAGAAAAGGTGTGCGCTTTCAGAGAATTTCAGAAGAATGCACAAATCATAGAAGGTGCAGTTATACGAGCCATTATGTAGGCTCTGTAAGATAAATAATAAAATTATTAATTTATAAAAAAAGTACTTCAAAATATTGCAAATATAAATAGTATTTATTATAATTTCGTATAATTTGATGATAAATAATCTTTGTATACTAAGTTATAAATCAAATATAACATAAGGTATATGACCATTGATTATAATAAAATAATAAAATTTTGTTTCCATAATGAGATTTGACTGTATTAAAAAATTTAGTACAATCTTCATTTATGGTTGGTCTATACCTGTGTGTAATCAGTTTGCGTTATTCAAGAACTAATGCTTACTCAAGGCAATTGATAAGAGTGTTTATACAAATAGTACCAACCAAAAATGGTCTTTCCCACAATTTAAAATGGAATAATTAATTGCATTATAAAATATTATTATTTAACTATGTATTGCTATGAGAGAAAATTATTATATGGAAAAATTACATTAAAATTTATAATCTATCTTATGTAAAATAATATTTATATTTTTATATATTTTCAGGAGGAACTAACCCTATAGGGCAGCAGAAGGGTGGGGCGACTATGCCCAGTAATGAAGAATGTGGGATCCGAGATGTTTGGGGTCATAATCTCGAAGAAGAATTTCGAACAATTCGGCAAGTCGTACAACAGTATCAATATATTGCAATGGACACTGAATTTCCTGGAGTAGTTGCTAGGCCCATTGGTAAGATATAACAAAATGATAATATTATAATAATTATTCAATTTTAAAATAAAATATATTTTTTTTATTACAGGTGAATTCAGAACTAGTGCTGATTATCAGTATCAGTTATTACGATGTAATGTAGATCTCTTACGAATAATTCAACTCGGTCTTACATTTCTCGATGAATCGGGAAATACACCTGGTGGTAGTTATACGACATGGCAATTTAATTTCAAATTTAATTTACAGTAAGTTTGAGATATATTTCAATATAGAATAGCGTAAAGACATAATGATAATATGATAATAATAATATGTTATATATATATATATAATTTTATAGAGAAGATATGTATGCACAAGATAGTATAGATATGTTGCAAAACAGTGGTATACAATTCAAAAAACACGAAGAAGAAGGCATTGATCCATTAGATTTTGCTGAACTATTAATGACATCGGGAATTGTTCTTGTTGACGACATAAAATGGTTATCCTTTCATTCTGGTTACGACTTTGGCTATCTATTAAAACTTCTTACAGACCAAAATTTACCACAGGAAGAAAGTGAATTTTTCGAACTTCTTAGGATATATTTTCCAACAATATATGATGTAAAAGTATGTTTTCTTAAATAATTATTTTCCATAAACATTAAAATCTAAATGTATAATTTTAATATGTAACATTTGATTCACAGTATTTAATGAAATCTTGCAAAAATTTGAAAGGGGGCCTACAAGAGGTAGCAGAACAATTGGAAATTCAAAGAGTTGGACCACAACATCAAGCTGGATCGGATTCGTTACTTACCGGAATGGTTTTCTTTAAAATGCGAGAGGTAAAAAAATCTTTCAATTAAAAATATGAGTATTAAAAAATATATTATAGATATAATATTGAAAAAAATTCAATTTTAGATGTTTTTCGAGGATAACATTGATGATGCAAAATATTGTGGTCATTTGTATGGTTTGGGAACATCATTCGTTGTAAATGGTTCAGGAGGATATCTAGACAGTAATGGAGATAATTCTTCGTCTTCGTAATGTTAAAAGCTATCACATCTCAGTCGGAACAGATTATTTCATTACAAATAAAATGTTATAAATAATGTTTCACTTAATGATCAAGCGTATAGTTCATATTCACAATATTACATTCAAATCACTGCTGTAGATTATAAAATATCACTAATTGAAAATGAAACTATAGGAAGATTTTTTCATATTTGTGCATTTTTTGTATCCTCGAATTTGAGTCGAATTTCGTAGGTTTCTCTTCTGTGATACGTGCTATTAATCGAAAATATTTACAATACTGAACAACATAAAATATGTAATATAGTTTCTTTACAAGTGTTTATGACAATATTGGTATACAAGACAATTGCAGTACAAAAGAAAAAAAAAGGAAACAAATCTACTTTTAAGAATTTTGCAAAATCTCTATTGGGATATGGAAGGTTGGTTAAGTATAACAAAAAAAAAAAAAAAGTTAAGAAAAAACAAGATTGCATTGTTTAAGTACATCTATCAGTGTTCATATGTACATTTATCACGCAATGCATTTATAGATCAGTACATTTTTAAGCCTGATTTCTTATTTAATGTTTTAATAAATATTCATCAAAATTACGCTTTGTGCAATTTTAGATCAACTGAATAAAATATTAATATGTAGTATTTGAAAACAAAATTCTATAATTCTTATGAATCTGATTTTATAGAAAACACAATTAGCAAAAAAAATTTTTTTATTATTATTATTATTATTTATTTTTCAGGTAGGATCTCTTATATTATACTACATATTTTTTATTGTGAGAAACGCAATTATGAGACTAAAGATAGAATGATCTTCTGCCACACTTTAAAAATGGACATCGCAAAACACATTTCTTTTGTAAATAACACGTCGTTCCAGAAATACAATAAACAACTTAAAAAAATTATGACTTTAATTGATTATATATATATATAGAAAAATAACAAAAAAAATTCCATTAATTAATATTCCGTGTTATTCGACAAATAATAAAACAATTTCTAATATTATCTCATTTAAAGAGATCGTTTCGCATCCTCTAAAAGTAGGGCAGTAGCCCTTGCTTCATTTTGTTCGTTCAAATTATAACGTTGCCTTATCCATCTGTAGTAAGAAGATAAACGCGTTATCACAATATAACTGATATCAGTACTGTTATCATTACTTGTTACCTGAAATCAAGCTCAGTCTCTTTTAGTAAATTAGACAAATCAGTTCATTTACCTTTATTAAAAATGCGGAATGTGATTTATCTTACTGTTTTTCCAATTCCAAAATCTATCTTTTTTTGGTGCATTCTTTTTCTACTAACCAGTCAGGTATCGGTGCAAATCGAAAATGAAACGTTTGCGAGTGCATTTAAATTAGATGATATTCAATCCAAAGAATTGATTTTCCCGGAATATAATGAAAATAATAAACAAATATCAAATGAAGCGTTCGATAATTTGTCAGAACAAATGGATTTGAATAAAGATAGAATCAACTATAATGAGAAGAGCGAAGAAGAAAAAGGGGAAGTTCCAATTAATGTCGATGACAATTTTAAACAACAAAATATAGTTAATGAAGAAATCATTTCTAGTAAAAGTAATTCGGCTGCAAAATATGTAAGATATGGTAAGTATTTTGATATCAATAGGCGTGACCATTATTAATTCTCTTCTTTCTCTTTTAATTCTCAAAAAATATGAACTAATATAGAAAAAAGAAATTCATTTATTTTAAATTCAATGCGAAGATTTTTTATTAAAAAATTTTTACACTAATTATTATTATTTTTTTTTTTTTTTGATTTCATTTTATGTTAGAATGATAGGTGATTATAGTATTATTATATAGTTTAAATAAAGAATCTTATCTGTTTTATCAGTTACTCACTCAAACGTGAATCGGAGATGAATCATTGGATTTGTATCGCAATGAGCTTTCGTAACACGTTTTCCAATCTTCTACATTCCTGATATCTGAACTAAAATTATTTCATTTGATTCTCATTTACATTCGACTTAATCCATGATTACGTTATCGTACGTGTAAACATATTTAATTTGTTAATTTTGTTTATAAAGAACGATATTAATAGAAAATCCATCAAAATTAGTAGCATTTGAATTTTTTTTAGATTGAGCAATTTAGATATAAATGCATGAAATTATCGTATCTACATTATAGTATCAGAATTAAAATACACTTATCCTTACAGATTCCGATTCAGCGGAAGCAGACAGATATGCACCTCGCTCGGATGATTCAGTTCCAGATTATGTCTTAACAGAGACAAGATTGAAAGAAATCAGATCCAAATTCATGTATTGGTTTTTCGATAAAGGAGGTGACAACGATGAAGGCGATTATCAAAAGGAAATCCAAGCTTCGACACCTCAAACGCATAAAAATTTCAATTTTCAATTACCCTTTTTTGGATTTAGATTCAATTACACTAGAGTACGTTGTTATTTGTTATTCCCTTATCAAATGATTTCTGACTATTATTTATAATCTAATCTGATAATATTTTAAAAGATTGTTTGTTACGTTTGTTATACATTTCAGGTATCAATGAATGGTTTCTTAGAATTTAGTGATCCTCCGGTACATTACACGTATCCTCTTGTTTTCCCGGTTAAAGACTGGCCAAAGAAGAACGATCCCAGTTTCATAGGAATATTTTTCAGTAAATGTCGCATAGGAGAAATACGGCAAACAGATATAGATCAAAGAAAACCAGGTGTATACTTTAGGTCGGTTGATATAATTAAAAATATTTCAATAATTAAATAAATATAATTTTTTGAAAAATAATTAAATTTATCGCTAAATACATGATTAGAGTTCGATTTTTCGAAGAAATCGAATGATTAACTTTGATAAAGATAATAAAGTTTAATTAATTAATCTTGATAATTCAAATGTTTTAAATGATGTTTTATAATCTATCATGAAATTTTTATAGATTGAAATTTTATAAAATTAATTTTTATAGAATGGAACGAGATTTACAAACGAGAAGAGATCAATTTGGAGTCGAAATGCGCGAACGTCTTAAGTGGGATATTCGCGAGGGTATTATTGGTACCGACGCTTTCGAGCCTAAACACGCAGTTATAGTAACGTGGAAGAATATGTCTTTCACCGGTGGTATCGATAATTCCTTGTACATCACTAACACTTTTCAAATGGTCCTAGCTACTGATGAAGTGAACACCTATGTGATATTTAATTATCTGGATATTCAGTGGACCAGTCACACAGAAGCTGGTGGTGATACTACGCGTGGTGAAGGTGGAGTTCCAGCATTCGTAAGTTTGATATTGATATTATATTACTACATTCAATAATGTAATATATTCAGAATTTTTCTTACTATATCATTTAAATTTATTCCTTTAATTTATTCCTTTTTTATTTTGAATTGAAATAATTTAATAAATTATGATAAATATCGCTTGTATTTGTAATTTTAATTTTCTTTAAAAAAAATGGTGTAAATTAATTCATATTTAGAAATTAATTGTTTTTTTTTTTTAGGTTGGTTTTAACGCTGGGAATGGTACACAAAGTTACGAATACACGCCTTACTCTCAAAGATCATCCATCCGTGATTTGACCGGAAGAGGATGGGCAAATAAATTTCCAGGACGACATATGTTTAGAATAGACGAAATAATACTGCCTGCAGTTTGCAATAAGGATATTGGTAAAATTGAATACATTGTAGATAATTATTAATAATATATTGTCATTAAGTAAGTATAAAATAATAATGTTTTATAGCTGGATCAAATTTGCCTCTTGTATTTGCGCCCGAAAGTGGAAACATGTTGGGCGGTACAATTGTAAATATTACTGGTCCATGTTTCAACGAGACTGAAAAAATTCGATGCATGTTCGAAAACGAATGGGTGATAGGTACTGTGATCGATAAAAACCGAGCGATTTGCGTTCAACCGTTTGTGAAAGCGCAAGGATACATTAGATTCGCAATCAGTGTTGGTGACAGTAAAAGTTACGATTGGAAAGGAAAATATTTCATTGGTAACATATAAATTTTAATTTTAATTCAAATCTCTTATTATCAATTATTTATTATCAATTATTATTAATAAGTAAATATTTATTGTATTCGATTTTATTAGAGACCCCAGCTACAGCGGCAGAGAAGATCTTTGTATCGAATTCCGTTCATCAAGCAACTCCTGCAGAAATAAAAATTACTTGGGTTCCGTATAATTTAACCAGTAATTTGAACGCAGGAGTACAGATATCTTTATGGGGATACCGTGAAACAAAAACTACTCCTGAATTCGAATATATCACTACTTTGGAGGTAGATACAATATATAGAATATTATTTCATAATCAATTCGAAAAAAAAATTTTAATTAAAAAATTGTAGAGAGCATATACAAATTTGGGATACTACATTATTAGACCAGCTACATACCGTGATGAAAATAATCCTTATCAACAAGACTTAACTTTCGGATTTCTTCAGCTTAATTTAACAGATCCACAGCAACATACTGGTTTTGACATCACATCGTATGTATATCATATATAAAAATAATTATATATATTATAAAAATTATACGGATAATAATACCAAAAATTTGTATAGTAATCTATGGAGTAGACCAATTCCATTGGCTTGGTATTTTGCTCCTCAATGGGAAAGAATGTATGGATCGAAATGGTCTCAACGACTTTGCGACAAATGGATCATGAATGACAGATATTTGAAGAATTTCGCAGCGGAAGTATCTCTGTGTCCGTGTACCTTGAAGCATGCGTTAACTGATAAAGGTCGTTTTCTTCCGGATTATGATTGTGATAAGGATGCAAATTTGGATTGCATGTACAATTTGCATGCGCATCATTGTGTGAGAACAGGTGCACCAAAGTAAGTAATATTTTTATAAGTAAATAAATTTATAATTATAAGAGGCATTTATATATTTTAGTATGGATGGTTCCGAGCAACAATGCTGTTACGATAAAAATGGTTATCTGATGTTGACATACGATCAACAATGGGGTTCGAGGCCACATAGATCACACAATTTGGGCTATTATCCATGGGACGAGGCAAATAAGGTTCCAAGTTTGTCGCATTGGTATCACGACGTAATACCATTTTATATGTGTTGTATGTGGCAAGAGGAACATGCAGTTGGTTGTGAAACGTTCAGATTTGAAAGACGACCAAGTCAAGATTGCATTGCATATCAATCTCCAGCTATTGCAACGGTATTTGGTGATCCCCATATCGCAACATTCGATGGTTTGGAATACACATTTAATGGAAAGGGAGAATTCGTTTTAGTGCGTGTAAATGACTTGAAGGATAAGCTCGATATCCAAGGAAGATTTGAACAACTACCAAATAACTTGTACGGTGAAGTTAAAGCTACTCAATTAACATCTATAGCAGGTAATAAAATAATAAAAACTTAAGAATTTCTATTAAAATTCTATAATTTTAAAAATATCTTTATTTTTCTTAATATAGCAAGAGGAAACAATTCTGCAACCATAGAAGTTCGATTAAGACCTAAACACGCGCAATGGAGATATCGTCTCAACGTTTTTGCGAATAAACAACCAGTATATTTCGATAGACCAGCTATAAAATTCCAACACTTTACTGGCGTAGTCGTTTACACGCCTACGTACATTTTGAATCAAAGTCAAGTGATCATTATGTTTGATACTGGTGCCGGCGTGGAAGTGATCGAAAACGAAGGATACATGTCAGCCAGAATTTATTTACCCTGGACATATTTGGTACGATTAAAAAAAAAAAAACATGAATTTATAATTCAATAATATATTGTACTTATAAATTTGTTTTTATCACTTTAGAATAAAACCAAAGGATTGTTTGGCAAATGGAACTTTGACATCGCAGATGATTTGATAACTCCAGATGGCCAACAAGTAGCAACATCCAATTTGAACCACTTTGAGACTGTGCACAAAGATTTTGCAATTCACTGGATATTAGAAGACAAGGAAGACGATGCTAGAGGAGCTGCCTTATTCAAGAGAGAATTTGGTAGAACTGCAAGTTATTATTTTAATAAAACCTTTGATCCTGAATGGCGAAGATCGCCAGAAGAAATATTGTCTTCTAACAGGTTTTGTTTAATATTATTTAATATCTTTTCTAATGATTAAATTTTGAATTAGTTATAAAAATAAAAAAATTATTTTATTTTTTCGCAGATCGTATGATATACAACGAGCTGCTGATCTTTGTGGAGATTCATATCAGTGTCGATATGATTATGCTATGTCGCTTAATCGTGACATGGCTCACTTTACAAAAAATTATTATAATACATATACTGAAATAAGAGAAATTAATATGAAAGAAACAGGTAAGTTATAAATATTTTTTAAGTAACTTTAACTAATGAATAACTATTTTTCTCATTTGTACATTTTATTCTTTATTTTATTCTTCCTTATTTCAGTTGTTTCATGTGGTATATTAGAAACACCACGTTTTGGACGAAAAAGTAATTTCTTTTTCGTACCAGGTACAAAGGTAACTTTTGAATGCAATCAAGATTTCATATTAGTTGGTGATCAACGTCGTGTTTGTACTCCAGAAGGTTATTGGAATATTCCAGAATATGGATATACAGAGTGTTTACGTGAGTACTTGAATTAACTTTACATTTAAATGATATTAAAATAATATCTATATTTAATATCGATGCTTATAATACATGCCTCGCTAATACAACAAAGTATCACAGATTATAAGAATTCATTATTTCCAATCCATTACTTATTTTTTTTTATTTTTTGCTTTTATTTTTATCTTTTAAAAAATCGTATCAATCATCGCATTTTGTACATTGAAAACGATAGTTCATTATCAAAACAGTAGACAAAATTATGAAAAAAGAAAAATAAAAATTTTGCTATTACATAAATAGGTCAAGTCGAGTATAGTCAACGTACAGCATGGACAACAATGGGCATTATTTGCGCCGTTTTAATCCCTGTAACAGCATGTGTCGCTGGTGCTTTTCTTTATATACGAAAGAATCAAAAGCAAGAAAGTTCCGTGAAATCGTGGCGTTATTCTGAACGCGGGTCTGGTATTGACAATGATTCAACATTGTCGAAACAGGCTACGCCGTTAAAAATATACGATAGACCAATTTCACCTATTAGCGATACTAGTAACAGTCCTCCAAGTGGGGTTAAAAAACCTCTTTCTTATGACAAAGTATATCGTACTAACGAGCCTTTGCCAAACAAACCGGATGTTGATTTCGAGGACAAAGATTGGGATCTAAAAGAACCTAGTTCTCCGACAGATTTGGAAAAAAGTTTAATAGAATCTAAAAAGGCTGGAAGTCCTAGTAAAGAAAGTGACGTGTAAAATAATTGACAAAATATTACGAGGCATTAATAGCGTCAGAAAATATTTCATGTATACATTTTTACTTAAATAATTTTCATATAACATACTTAACATTTCAAAAATCATTACATTAAACTTTTTGAAAACATTCTCTTCGTATAAGAAAATATTTATAGATTTTTGTAATTATAATTGCGATTATGTATTTAACATAATCGCACGCAATCAAATCATTTGCACAAAAATTAAATTCATTCAAAATATATTAATTAAATTTTATCATCAAATATTAATAAAAAAATTTAAATAGTATATATTTTTTATTTTTGCTGTGGAATAGAAATATTCATTTATAAAACAATACAATACACATTATAATATCACAAATAACCTTTATACTTTTATAAAATGTAATACAAATAATATATTAAAATGCAACATCTTTTTGAAATTTAAATAATGAAGTTTATTATAATATTATTGTATAAAATATTTACTAATTAATGTAAAATCATGCAATGTAATAAACTTTTCTATACCTTTCAATATTTGGGAAATTTCTATTCCACATGCATTTACTACATAAATTTCATAAAATATTTGAATAATTAATTAATCTTTAGTGGAATGGAAATTTCCACCAAAAATATTATTTTTTCTTTTTTTTTATTACTCTTGTCCTTTTTTTTCTATCCTTCCTTTTTTATATTTACATTTGTTTATTAATTTTACATTAATTATTAATTTTTTCATTATTTAGTAATCAAAATAATTTTTTTTAATTTTTTTTTATTTATATTAATGATATAAATTATATTAAAAATCACAGGTCAAGAGGAATATGATTCACGTCAAGCAGGTATTACAACTGGTATAGTGCTTGCTTGCCTAATTCCAGTTTTACTTCTAATTGTTTTTGTGGCATTCAGAGTTTTAAAAAGACAAAGAGAACAAAGAGAACAAGAAGAAGCATTAAATAGGTATTGCAATTAATATTAAAAAATTATAAATAAAAATTTAGTCTAATATTAATTTCTAAAATTTTTTTCTATAGATCAAAAAATGCAGAACTTTTAAGATTATCAAAACTTAAAGAAGAAGAAGAAGAATCTACTTCATTTCCTAAAGCAACAGAAATAAATTAAATAATTTACATATTTTTTAAAAAAAATTTTTTATGACTTATTTCATATCATTAAATATATTCTTTTCATTTATTCATTTTAGGATATCATATTTATTTTAGGAAATTATTTTTAGCATTTAATAATTTTAACATGACTAATTTTTAATTAAATATACATTTAGTTAATAATTAAACATACAAGCTAAAGCATTTATTTGTTAATATAAATAAATTGTATTCTATCTATATCATAAAAATATATTTTATGATATAAATTTTACATGCAAGACAAAATATATTTATTATAGTATTTTTATATTAATAATATATTTAATTCAATATATATAATATATTCAATATATAAAAAATTCGATATGTACTTACAATTTTATACAATTCATGAAATGTGAAAATAGATTATAAAATACAGTTTTATACAATCCCATAGAAAATTAATGTTTAAATTTTATATATACATATATAATTATCTAGTTGTGATTATACTTAACAGATATATATGTACATATAAGAATTTTAATACAATGTTCAATACGATAATTTTATCATAGATATAATTGAAGATTATATCATATAGAGCTAAATAAATTCATATTATTGAAAAATATTATTGTGTACGTAGTACAAAAATTGTGCACATACTTACAATTTAACCACGAATATTTGTTGAACGTAGCGAAGTTTTATTGGATACCATTTAGTTTTAAATATGTAATATTATAATATATTCGATTAACTTCATGTTGTAGAAGAAACTGTAGCCCTCTACTAACAGAGATAAGTAACTACATAATAAATTACCGACTGTTCAACATCTCATACTGTATTGTGCGGATCGAGTAGTAATTCTATCATTGCGTTATCCAGTGATTAAACTATTTATGTTAGATTTCCTGCTTCAAGTGTTTAGAATGCATACTGTTCCGTCATTGTTCCTAAGTATGTAACTATAATTACGTGAATTTGCTTTGGTTTACAGTAAACATTCCAAGATATAACAGTGATTCGTTGAAGCGCAAACAAGTGCCAGTATTTGAGGAAATTCGTGTGTACAAATTCACATATAAAATTGATCATATTCGAACTCGGTTTTCAAAGTAGTTTGAGCATGGATTTAAGTGTGTGACAATCGAAGAAAAAATTGCAACATTAGAGGTATGTATTTTTAGACATTCAGATATCATACAATAATTCAGTTATATGTTCAATTATATTATTTGTATTTTATTTAGTATTGTTATTTTCAATAAGCCGATTCTACTGTATCAAATCATATTAACCTATTCCTTTTGTTTTTGTTCCATATGTCATACGCGCATGTCAAGTAATTTGATTTAAATAAAATTTTTAAACTTAATTTACGTTACGTATAAAGATTATAATAACAAAGCGATAATGTCAACTAACAATTAAAAAATATTTTTATTTTATTATATATATATATATATATATATAAATTTTATCCATGTAGTTTTTATGTGGAAAATAATAAAAATATAAAATGATCACAAAAAAGCATAATATAATTACAATTTGTTTTTTACATGAATCATAAAGAATATATGCATATTTTAATTTTCAATTATTCTAAAATTATTCAAAATTTAAAGATATTCGTTAATCGCTACATTAATTTTACATTTTTATTTATAGATATTGGAATTAGCTCGATAAATCTCATTTATTAATCATTCAACGAATCAGAAAATATGTCTGTCATATTGCAATGGCTCGATCATGGGTAGGATGTTTGTTCGGTGTTTTAATACCATCCGCAGTTTTTTACCTGTATTTATTATTAAACGGTAATACTCACTTTTTATTATATTATTTCCTGATATTGATATATCATATATTATTATAGTTCCTTCTGGCGAAATCAGTTCCTTCAAAATTAATGGTAAATTGGGCTCATCCGTGGATATAGAAAAAGCAAGTCCACATATAGCTACTTTCGAAAAGTTGCGCTTAGAAAATAATCACAATGAGGTAAAAATTTATAATTGATTTCTTGATTGAAAATAAAAAAAAAAGTTTCTATAAATAGAAGATGTCCTGTTATTCGTAGTATAACAAACTTATTTTTTTCATGAGAATTATATAACGTAATAAAATTACTAAATGCGATTCTTAATTGTATGCCATCATCAGCTTTGTCACTTTATAATTAATTTTATTATAATAATTAATGAGATTAACTAATTTAGTTACATAAGAAATAATAGATATAAAATTTGAATTAAAAATTTTATTCATAAATTATCTATTTTCATTTTTAAAAATGAAAAAATTTAATTTTCTAATTGTGTTTTAAATTAAATATTTTTTTCTCTTATATTTTAGAGAAAAATATTTATTCAGCTTTCTATTTTAATTAAAATTAAAGAAATTATTTGTGATGCTTCTAATTAAAATTTTATGTTTAATAAACACGGAAATGTTTTACTTCTAATATAAATATTTATTCAATAGTAAAATTATAATTGTTATATTATATTGCAATTCATATTTACTTTAAAATACATTAAAGACTAATATTCCTTTATATATTTTAAAATATTAACATGCAATTAAGAATCATTTATATAATTTTCATTTAAAAATAAAATAAATTTTGACAGAACTAAAAACATAGAAACGTTGAAGGTTAGCGATTTATTTTAAGGTAAAATGCGAGACTGTGCATATTGCGATGGTGTGCGCCGGATACAATTCAACATTCGCTCTGGTGACAGTAGTAAAATCCGTTTTATTCTACCGCACTAAACCTTTGCACTTTCACTTGCTCGTTGATGAAATTGCAAAGAGGACTTTGACAACTGTGTTTCAAACATGGGATTTACCACATGGTTTGTAAAAATTAACCGTGGTAACATTTTCATCCGATGCTTGAATAAAATTTTAAAATTACGTACGATGTTTTATGTTACTAAAATAAATTATTAAAATAAATTATATTTAGTTACAAAAAATAAAATTTTTTAAAGAAGATTTTAAGAAAAAAAATTAAGTACTTAATTTAAGATATTATATTTTACTTCTTTATATATAGCAATAGTGTAAATTATAATTACAAAAAATGACATTGATTTATAATAATAGAATATTTTTAATATCTTCATTCTTGTCGATTTTCTATCTTCAACTAATTTTCGCTTTCATTTTGTACATTTACTTTTTTTAGAAGAATACTTCCAATATACATAATTTAATAATTAACTAGGTCACATATTTATTAAAGCCTCAATACGGTTATAAAATGAAACCCTATCCGATTTTTTTTATTGTCCTTAATTTAAAACATTGAATTGAATTTTCTTTCCTCTTACAAACTAACGTTATACATATAAACCTATTAAAAATGAAAATCGTGTGAAAAATGTTAAACAATCGTTGACTTAATTATAATGATTATTGTGATTGTCGTTTAGATGTGAAACAAATTTGAACGAAACGTTAATTTAAAATTATTTAAGGAACGGATGGCATGTATACAATTTATTATTATTATTATTATTATTATTATTATTATTTGTATATTTATTATCAACGATTGTATTAAAATATTCCTTCGATCGTTTCAGTGAATTTAACATATTACAAAGCAGAGAAATGGGTACCAAAAGTATCTTGGATACCGAACAAACATTACTCCGGTGTTTACGGTCTTTTGAAATTAATTCTGCCGGATGCGATGCGGGAGGATAAAGTGCTTGTATTCGACACGGATGTAACTGTGCTGAACGATGTTAGTTTACTTTGGCATATATTCGAGAAGTTCTCGAGCGATCAAGCACTAGGGTTGACAGAAAATCAGAGTCATTGGTACATAAAGGCATTGTCTTACGGTCAACGACCATGGCCGGCACTAGGACGAGGCTTTAACACTGGCGTGATGCTAATGCACTTGCAACAACTTCGTAAGAGAAAATTTACGAGCCTGTGGGAAGCTGTTACGAAGCGTGTGCTGGCCCATATACCGGAAACTAGTTTAGCTGATCAGGATATAATAAATGCCGTTATCAAAGAACGTCCTTTTATCGTATATAAAATAAAATGCACGTGGAATATTCAATTAAGCGATCATACAATTAGTGATATATGTTATCGTGACACTAGTCAAATAAGCGTAAGATTTTGTTTTAATAATATATTTTCATTTTTCAATTTTTAATGAATTTTTTTTATTTTATTTTGCGATTTTTTGTAGATTATTCATTGGAATTCTCCTCGCAAACAAGATGTATATAATAAGCATATTAACGAATTTCGTAAGTTACATAGAGTTTTCCTCGAGATGGATGGAAATTTATTACGTAGACGCTTATTTGGTTGTGATAAACACGAAACTGTGTCTCAAGTAAGTTTCTTTTTTTTATTGAAAGATTCACATTGTTTCTATATTACTTATTAATTATTAGACTGATTATTAGATGATAAGAAGATTAAAATAAGATTGGAAATTATTTTCATGCTAAATTTTCTAATTTGTTTTTTGTTTAAAGAAAAAAATATTATGTTCAGTATATTTATTATAGATTCGATAATTTATAAATCAATTAAGATTTTAAATTTTTAGTATAATGAGTCAAGTCCTTGTCGAGATTTCACAAAAGGTGCTACCATGTTGTATCGTACTCATCCTTTCCTTCTTGAGTATGAATACAATGTATATACTCCAGCGGATGTTGCTCTAATAACTCAGTGTAGCGTAGAGAGAATACCGTTACTAGAAGACCTATCGAAACATTGGCCCGGTACCATAAGCGTTGCACTGTATCTCACCGATGCTGAAGTACAGAATTTCCTAGAGTTCGTACGCGGTTCCATCGAGTTGAGAAACAGGAAGAACATCGCATACCACGTCGTTTACAAGGATGGGGTATGTCTAACCAGGATATTCTATGTCTTGTACACATATTGCAAAGTTTATTCGTTAATTATGTATAATTAAATCGAGATATATGATTTCATAACTTTTAAACTAAAAGAAAAAATAAAGAGGACATATTTAATGTATATGTATAAATATTTAATTATATAAAATTCTTTTCATTAGGAACTTTATCCAATTAATTATTTACGAAATATTGCGATGTCATATATATCAACCCCATACATCTTTCAATTGGATGTCGATTTTCTGCCTCAATATAGATTACACGAAAATCTTATGAATTATATTGTTAAATTGAATATTAGTGAATCGGACAAGGTAGCTTTGATCGTTCCAGCCTTTGAAACAGAGCGTTATAGGTATTTTTAAATTTTTTTATTATAAAATCGAAACAAAGAATCGCATAATACATATTACACATACATTTTTTAGATTTACTTTTCCTGCTGACAAGGATGAACTCTTGAAATTTTTAAAGCGCGGTGTTCTATATACTTTTCGTTATCACGTTTGGACCCAGGGTCATGCTGCTACTAATTATACTTATTGGCGTAATACAATGGAGCCATACGAAGTACGTACATTAAAGAGTTTCATCGTTTTATTTGAATGTAAATTATTAAATTATTGTCATCATAGGTTTCTTGGGAACCAGATTTTGAACCGTATATCGTGGTCTCAAGATTAGCGCCCCGTTACGACACCAGATTCATCGGTTTTGGATGGAACAAGGTGTCTTATTTGACGCATTTGACAGTATTGAATTATAAGTAAGAGGCGTTTTATAAATATCTTTTCTAAATGATTTTAAAACATCGAGCATTATAGCACGATGCCATAAATTGAAGATTTATATAGGTACATTGTCTTACCGGATACATTCATTATTCATCGGCCTCACGCCCCTAGTCTCGACATCGGCAAGTTCAGAACTGACTCTATTTATAGAAGGTAATGCTAATAATATTAAATGCTATATATAATATTTAAAATAATTAAAAGATCAAAATCCTTAAATATATAATTATAAAAAGAAGAGTCTGTAAGTTAAAAATGAAAATATTTCATATTAATTAATATTATTTAACATTCTATTCTATTTAATTTAAATGGTGTATAATACTTAACAAATAAACAAACTATATTATAATTTATTTTTCATTGTAATTATATTTCAGCTGTTTAAAAAAATTGAAGGATGAATTCGTTGAAGAATTAATGTCGAAATATGGTGAGAATGCATTATTGAAGTTAAAGAAAATGACCAAAGATGAAAGAATATTAAAGTCTGTTGAAACCAAAAAGTAATTAATTATATTTGTAATGATAAGAACGACTGCGAAAATGCTAATATTATTGCTATTTTCTCAATAAAAATGTATTTAAAAAAATACATATATATTTTCCTCTATTTTTCTAAATTATTAATTGAAAATAGACAATAATGGGGTTGGGAAATATTTATTAAAATTTAACCATCGTGGAGTGTACAGAGTGGTGCTTTCAGTACATTCTCTTAATGTTACAGTCACGCTAAATATTTCATTTATAAAATATGTATAATATTTACAATGATAGTACATTGACAATGGCGTATAAATTATAATCGGCCAAAAATGTTGTACATAATAAAACTAAATTACGTTAGAAAGCAAATAGTACAATTTTTCTGATAAAACTTGCTAAAAATAATCACGATCACAATAATAATAACAACAATAGCGATATAAATCCGATAGATCGATTAGGAATATTAAATATTAACGATATTAATTATTACTTAATAATAATATCTAATAATAATAGCTGTGATAATAATAATAATAACACTAATATTAATAAAAAAGACAATATAATAATAAAATAAAAAAAAAAAAGACATGATCATCGTCCGCAAAGATTTTTTACCTCGATTATCCATTCTTAACATTCCTATGTCATCTAGAATCTAAAGTAAAAGAAAAAATCTTGATCGCTCTACGTTTTCCCTAGAAAGTTTTTCTTACACCTATATCGTGACACGTAAACATAGTTCCTTTACATTTATAATAATCCTATTTACGATAAAAACACTTTAAAGCGTTCTTATCCTGTACAACTTAGAGCTGTACGAGATACGAAAATATGTTAATGAAACATCATTTATTCATAACTCGGCCCCATGAAAGTCCGCGTACAAACTCGTCAAATATCTGAGAAATCTGGACGCGGCTGGATCCATAGAAAACGGCGCCCTAACAACTCTTCGTCAGGAACATGCTTTACATTCTGCACGGTATTATCGTTACAGTATACATGTGGAAAATCTTTCTATAATATATATTTTTTTTTAAACAAGTGGCGATGGAATGAGTTAGGCAGTTTCAACGATGATTTAGGACACGACTTCAGCGATCAATCGAGAAAGCACAATTATTATTATTATTATTATATTTTTTTTTTTTTTTCATTTAGAACTATTCGCAATATAATTCTTTGAAAATCATTTGATTACTCAAGATTATTTACGAGTAAATATCTATTATATTATTTATACTATTTCGTATCTCTTTGTTCCACTTTTAAAGGACATAAAGTTCTAATCTATGTTTTATACTTTATGTCACAAATATTTTTGAAAACTCTGGAAAATAATCTTGAGTAATCAATTGATCTTAAACTTGTACCAGCATTGTCCGCAAATAGGAAAAACCTATTGTATCTTTGTCTCTTTTGTTAAGCTCCTTCATATTTTTCACCAATATACATATACTTTTTCATACAGAATGGCATTATCTATGTTCCCACAGTCAAAAGAAATATTCTTAAGGAAAAAAACTTTCTAAATTTTTATATAGTTTAATATCAACAATGCTGGTTTACACCAAAATCTTCTAATGTAACATCTTTCTGATGAAATCTTCCCCTAGAAGCGTTTACACGAAACGTGGATCATTTATAATCGTAGTATACTTTTGCGATTTGATATCTTCAAAGTTCAATTATATTAAAGAAATTATTTTGGAACGAACATCGCGTAGATCATTTCGAGTTCTTCACTTCGTCATTATGAATCTTTTGTTGTTACGAACGCAATTCCTTATCGAGAAATCTATAGAACTAAAGCTAAATGAAATTATACAATTTTCTCAATTTCAAAAGTGTCAGTCTTCGAAAAATGGTTACGATAGATCGATGAGTAAATAAATGCAATATATAATTTCACGCGATTTACAGTAATACAAAACGAACGATATTTAAACATATGATACGCATATGTAAATCTAGATGATTCGTACGATAATATAATCGTTAATAGATCGTTACCATACGGTAATTTGTGTGCTCGAAAATTAGATTTAAAAGCTCACATTTATCGTTTATTATATTTTTCATGGTCTTTAATTTCAGGAGAAAATTAATATTTTTATTGTACTCGTATAATTTCTGCTAATTTTTATATACTCAACCATATCAGATCAGCGTTTTACATCTCATTTCCGAGAATTAATTAATTGTTATGAACTTTTTCGCTTTAATGAAGTATTTCATTACGTTTGAAAGAATCGTTTAAGAATACGTTTAAAAAATACATTTCAAAACAGAAATAGCATAATTAGGAAGATTATTATCGTCCTTTTTTGGAATGAATTCAACATGTTTCATTTGTCTTGCGAATGCTTCTCGAATGAATACATTATTTCTGGAATAAATCTAGCGAGATATTTAAATTTTCCTCACAATTAACTAAATTTATTTGTACTGTCGAATTTGTTATTTAAATGTGCCATAATATAATAATCTATCGATCTTTAAAAAAAAACTATCATATTTGTCCCTATATTATTATGTAATTTTATTACATTTCCATCAATAATCGTATTTTCGAAATCAAAGAAATTATTTTAATCGAAATTATTTTTTATTTTTATTTTATAGCAGATAAATATTATAAAAATTATAAAAATCTTTCATAAAAACGATCGATTTGAAATTGTCTCGAGGTATCTAATACATTTTGATCCAGTCATTCCCATTCAGATGCTTTCGTACCTCTCGTGAAATTAAATTTTATCAAATTATGCATTTAATCTCCAAGTATGGTCGGATTTGTAAATCGGACGGTATACTCGTCTGCATCTTTACAGACGCAGATTGCAGATCAAGAATTTCGCGTTAATACTTCGATAATAGAAATAAGATTATTCGCAATCGTTGATTAAAAATCGGTTTAATTTTTTTTCCTTTTTTTTTTTTTTTTTAGATAGATGGAAACAATAACAATGTGTTACTGCGAAGCTTTGAAAATGAGATGGATCAAAAAGCTACGAGATTTTTAAGTATACCTATGTAACAAAATAATCCAATAATATTTCTTAATATTTCTTTCTATTAATAAAAGTTTCTTTTCCGGCAGCATGAGACGGGGAATAGAACTGGTCGATTTTTCGACGAAAGAAACGATCGATTAATGTATAATACAACAAAATAGATTATCTTTCCCCCAAAGTGTATCAAAATTTGTCAAGAATTATCGAAGATGAATAAGAAAAAAAACATCAACGTCAATTTACAAAATGTGCCTATAAATTACTAAAAAAAAAAAAATCATGGAAATCGTCTATATTTATCGGAAAACGATACTACAATTGTGCCCATAGAAATTCACTTCCACTAAAATACCCGTTTTTAGACAAGGGTCGCGGATAGTACAATAACTTCTAAACCAATCTCACATTAAATCGTGTATCATGCTCTTGTTCACCCTTGTTCCTTTCTTCCCACGGGATGATGATCGTCGAGCTGAACGCAATATATATCGCAAACAATCGATCGAATCGATAATATTTCCACATCGGGCGAACGTGCGGTGCAAACTTTATCTGCCAATTAAAAAACGTAAAGCTAGCTCTCGTCTAATCGACTGTGGTACACCGATAACACCGATAAACGCGAAACGAGGAACAGAGGGTTCGTTACGCGAATCCCCACCCCCCTTCCCCCCTCCCTCTCCTCATAGACCCCTCGATAATTCCATAATTGAACGAGAAAACCCAAGTAACAAGGTGGCGGTACCTTTCGTCCTTTCACCTTCCCCCCATTAAATTTGGTCGATTGTCGCGATGAAGCTGTCTTTTCATCCCGCGGGATCGCGCGCGCGTTCCACCTCGCTCGATTCGGATCGTTTCTCGTTTTCTCTTCCGAACGAGAGAAAAATCTCGCGTGCGCCTCATTAAAAATACACCGTTGCCGAGACCGCGTTCGCAATTACACGGACTTTAGACACCATCCTTTTTTTACATCCCCCACCCGCGCGCCTTCCCCCGTATCTATCTCCCCTTTCCCCGGAGTTTAATTCCCCTGTCCCGGTTGTAATGACTTCAAGCGGATATATACCTGGCACAGTAGATACGCAGAGTCGTTAGAGAGACAAGACGTTGACGAGGCATCAAGTTGTACACAGATGCCTGCCTCTATCGATTGGAAAAAAAAAAAAAAAAAAACTATCGGAGGAGGGATGTGTCGTCTCGAAGGGGATGTGGGTGGAGGAGGGTGACGCAGGTAAACCGTGTTATTGCAGCAAGTTTCCATCCCCAGTCAAAGGGATGGTTTCGCTCATTAATGCGAACAGCCTAACTGCGCGCACAAAGTATCCTCGGCATAATAATTGCACACGGCGAGTGACGCTGCCTCGTCATGCGCATCCCTGGTAAACACGCCACGGCTAATAGTACGTACGGGGGGATCGACTTCTCTCCCCCCTCCCATATAATTGAGGGGATCGTACGACACGTTCTATTTTCGCGTATACGCTCGTTACTTGGATGGGGAGAGACGGGGCGATTGGAGGATTGGAGGTGTTCGCGCGAACGGGGAAATAAATCTCATGTCAACGATGGGTGAAGGTGTTTTGTTTCCGTTTACTTTTATCTTTGGGTGAACGAGTTTTTATTTTTTATTGTTATGCGAACCTTCAATGACGCGTAATTAAACGTCTCTGAAAAATTAAAGGATTATATTTACGAAGAATATTTTTATTTTATCGGACGAATAAATGATTTTATAAATAATTCATATAATATTTTGATTCTATTTTATTTAACTTGGTTTTAGAAGTGGATTTATCGGATTTATGGGATATCATTATTATTAAATGGTTTTCATTAAATGATTCGAATGATGAAAGAAGAAAAGAGAAACAACCCTTGACGAAATGTTTCCCACTCGAATCCATATGTCGTGCGTAATCTCGACATCAAGTTGAATCGAGAACGTGCACATACGCGACGGGGAAATTTAAACGACGTGAGGAGAGGAGATGGTGGCGACGAATCGTGAAGAAATCGGACGACCGCCCCGTTATTATTTCACCGCTCGTTTTTCCGGTGCCCCGAAACCGTCTGGTGACGGATCTTGGTTTTAATTCCTTGGGAACGTGGGACGAAAGTATCTTCCCCGGCGCGATAATCGTGGGCGTCGAAGCGATATACGGAGAACACGTCAAAATACAAAATTACAAAAATATACTCGTGGCGCCGTACCAACCGATCGCTGCCGCGCTTGTTTCGAACGTGCCCACATTTACATATAAACAACGTCGTGAATTAGCGTGCAATTAAGGTCCGTGTGTGTGTGTGTGTCTGTGTGTGTATTTACAGGGCGCGGCAGAACGATTGGATCGGACGAACCGCGACTCTGCTAGGCCGCTTAAAATATATCACGACGATACTCGTGTAACCTCGCTTCCGGCGATAAGAGCTTCGCGGCTTTCTTTGTGCGAATCAGGATTTCGGGATGATTCGTTCATTTCGTACGTTTCTTTCGTACGTATCCCTTTATTAGAAACGTTATCCGAGGGGAGGATTTTCAAACTCGTCTAAGAATAATTCTAATGTTGCGTGGCAAATCTGAGAAGTTTCAACGAATTTTTAATTCTATGTAAAATAGAGTGAAATTTGTGAAAATTGTTACGGAGGATAATGTGAAATTAGATTTCATCGATTCGTAGATAACTTTGATGATTTCGAGACAGGTAGTGAAAATAATTTGAAATTACAAAGAATAGAGATAGATGGATCTCTTCTTCGATTAATTATCTACGATGAATTGAAATATTTATTATCCCGCGATATATATATAATATCGTAGGTGTACACACGCGCACGTTTTATTCTCCGTTAAATTTTCCTCTTAAAAAGAATTATTCGTCTCTTAAATTCTCTTGCTTTCAAAACGTTTACTAGGAGATAACTGTACATTGGCACCTATTTTTTTTTTTTTTTTAATTTTAATTTTATTCTCTTTTTTTATTTTTTTACTTTATTTATATTTGCAAAATGATCGATTATTTGTCAAAACGTAGCCGAGGAAACGAAGTTACACGATCGCGCCGTGATTTTCTCCGCGCTGTCCCATCGACATCGCGTCATCGTCCTCCAGATTTATTTCGTAATACTGTTTAGGTGCGTTGCAATTTTCGGGGAAGATATTTCATCCACCAACATGGATCTGTCCATCGAAATTTATAAATCGATGTCAGTATATAGTTCTTATCTATGAAAAGATTCCTTATTTCAAAATAGATACAAGAAATCCATTATTTCTATTTGATTGAAAATAGATAAAACAATAAAAAAGAGGTGTGATAATGTTTATGTTTCCTTTTTTGTTAATCAATAAAACTTTAAATTATTAAAATAAAAAATCTCAAATTTTAATAGATTGTTCCCTTAAAATTAATCTTTAGGCAGCCTATTTTACGTCCAGTCTTCGATCATTATATAATGGTAGAAAAATTTGTATTTTTTGAAATATTTTGAAAAAGTATTATTTTTATCCGTGCTCAAAAAAAAAAAAAAAAAAAAAAAAAAGAACGCGTATTCCCTTTTCGAGTAAAAGGCAGGATAAAATTTATACCACTCAACGTTTTCCTCTTCCATTTGTCCTATTTTCAAGCAAACAGAACGTTCAAATCCCTTCAATTACGTGACATATCCTGTGCTTTTAACGAGCAAATTCAGATTATCCTGCGCAAACCGTGCTGCTTAAAATAATTAAGAGATCGCTTTCGGATAAGAAAAATCCAATAATGAAAAATTCAAAAGCAAAATCCCTTATGCATTAAACGTTGCGTTTTAACTTTGGAAATTAAACGGATATTTCACTGGAAAGAAATAAAGAAATATGTTTCAATTGTTCGTGTCGGCGTCCCTTTGTGCGTTCGAACGTTCGATCGAAAGAAAGTATTATTAAGTATCCGTTCGTTAGAAATATTATATATAAAATCGTTGAAAATTACTCTTCCTCTTGAACCGACAGAATTACCGTCGGAATCGGTATTACATCGTGCTCGCAACAAGTTGCGCGAACGATCGATCTTTAAATCCCCCTCCCTTGTCGATAAAGTCGTGGAAAGCAACGTTAAGAACCGGATAAGGCGTTATCGAAAGTATAACAAGTTCGCGTGGCTTATAAATGTTTACTCCAAGAACGATCTCTTTTTCCCTCGTATTCGAGGGGGCCATTAAGGAAACTGAGTCGGTTAAAAATTGTTTGCCTTTCGGTCAACCGGTTTCGTTCGACGTATGGGAGATCGATGGCCTCGGGAACTATCGCGAGAGTTGCCCCGTAAACGTGGAGAACCTATCCGGAGAACGTAATCCGAGTTATCGAAGATCGATGAAAAGGAAGATTGAGCCGCGTGTTTCACGGGAGAAAAGAAATTTCACGATCGATCGCTTTGAACGCGTAGCCTTTCGTTTGAGAGGTTTGTGGAATCCTTGTTTGGAGTTTCGGAGTTCGGAGAACGATTTCGGGATCGAGATCGAGTCAAAGCTGGATCAGATATATGGTTCGGGGGTTATAAGCATATATGGCAGTATATACTTTAGATCGATTCGATTGGCTAAAATTATCGAGCCGATCGATTATCCGATTATTGGCGAAAATTCGGAATCAATGCAACTGTTATCTTGTCCAAATCTTTTCGATCCCGTTCCGAAATTTATAAATCATGATTCCACACAACTCTAACGTTTCTTAATAAGTTCCTATACGAGTCTTTAAATTTAATCGTTTCAATTGCAAGTGTGAATTTCGCATTTGCAATTTTCACGGAATCGCGTATACGACAGCGTTTTTTTCTTAATTAATTAAAAGGTCTAAGTTGGTTGTATGTCTATCACTTTGTTGTATCCCTAACTCGAAGATAGACGTGCCTCGCCTCTATGTATCGCCACACGTTTCTTTCGTGCATTGTGTGTGTGTATGTGTGTGTGTGTGTTTCTTTTTTTTTACGTACGATTCCGCAAAAGCGTATTCGAATCGAACGAATCAGAAGACAGACTAATCTCTTAAGTAGTACAATATACATTTTATGTACAAGATGTACGATGATCCTTTTTTACAACACGTATTCGGCGATTCGCCAACGCGCTCAATGCTGAGATCCATCTTTGTGAAGATGAAGTAATACGGCCTCGCGCAAATATTAAAATATTTTTGAGTACTGTGCTTTCGGAGAGGGTTTTAACACGATAAAATACGAGTTTCGGCCGCGATATCGTTTGACACCCGCGACGAAAATTAAGGATGCTGTCGTGGCTCACGGATCGAAGAGACGAAAATCTATGGAACCGATCGAATTATACCGATTTACCGACCTCAGATTAAACGCTCAGATTTATTTGGAACATCTGAGTGATCATTTTATCATTAAGAGCGAATATAGTCGGAAGATTTATATATTTTTGTTATTATAAACAAGTCACTTTTTAACATCTTCGTCATCATTGATCTTATTACACAATACGAAACCATACGTGTTTGGTTTCCTGTCTCTCTGTTTACTCTTGATTCCGATTTACATATTAAAACGGACATGTTAAAACGGATATCCGCTCGATGCGGATCAAGTACCAATGCGTAATATAAAATTAAAAAAAAAATATAGAAAAAAAAAAAACAAGTATAACCTTAAATCTAACAATAGCAGCCAGCTAAAGCATCGCTTTGCACTCCCCTGGAGAGATAATAATAAAATAACGCTAATAAATTCGAAATACCGTGTAAAAATGCCTGACGCAGGCACGTCGGCGGGTGTACAAAGTTTAAATAAAAAAAAAGGGAGAGAAAGAAAAAAGGAGAAATAAAAATTAAGAGGTATTAATCGCATGATCATCTCGACATAGTATAAAATAATGCATCGTTCACACGATGTGAATGTGGCTCGAATATGTGATCCTCCATTTGGCATGCAACAAGCACGTCAATAAATAAGACGAACGTCTCTTCACGTTATCCTTAATGCTAATTATCTCGTTACGTTGTGTACTTTACACACGAACCGTCTAATAAACGTTCATCCAACGGGCACAAGACTATTATCTCTACACTATTTCTCTCCTCAAATCGAGACCAACCACGAATCTTCACGTAACGATCGTCCATCCATCGAGATTGTTTCAATCAATCGAAAACAAATTCCCCTAAAAATGACGATCCAGAAGAACAAGTAGTCAATTTTCCCCTCGCTCTTATTATCCACCGCGTTCAGATAATTATTATTTTAAATATATCGATCTCACGAGCCACATATACGCGTACGTAATAACAAGCGTGCGAAAAAACCCTGCGATAAAATAAATAAAAAAGAATACATGAAGAGAGAGAGAGAGAGAGAGAGAGAGAGAGACAGAGGGAACACGACGAGCAAAGAAAGAACGACCGGCAAAAGGCGTCTCGCCCGAGATGTTTCGCCGCTATGTTCCGGCGAGTCGGCGGATCTACCCGACGATCCCTCTCATTCCTCCTCACCGGATGTTGGAAGCCCTCGCACGCTCGTTCGTCAGCACATTTGCCGGCCGAACCTCCGAACGCGCTCCAACCGTATGATCGACGATCCTCGACATCCCTCCGGGCGCGGGGATCGTCAACTCGTTTCTCGAAAGGCACTACCGGTTTATTGTGGCTTCGGTCATGCGTCTCTTGTGCTCACCACGGCCACGACCTCGCGGCCTCATCTTCGCCGGCCGACGTACATCGATCATACTTCCGTACCGTCCTCACCCTCGTCCTCGTAAAGAGGCCCGTTGGTCGACTTCTTCTTGGGTTTCGGTGGTGGTCTCGGTGGCACTTTTCTATTAAGCGTGTTACTACTGCCCGACTGCTGTTGCTGCTGCTGCTGTTGCTGTTGCTGTTGCTGCTGCTGCTGCGCCTGTTGTCCAAGAAGTTGATTCGTGCTGTCCGTCGACTCGTCGGCGATCTTCGACGGCCATTCAGCCGCGCCCTCGGGCGCTGATCTGTCGAGCGGGCTGCTTGTCAATATGTTCGGTGTGCTTCGTTGTATGGTACCGTAATGGGAGCCCGGGGTTCCAGGCAGAGGCCTATTCCTCATCGTGGACAGTGGTTCAGGGCTCTTGTTCAACGACAGCACCGAACTACCGTCCGCGGTTGTCCTAAGCCCCAGATTGTCGTAAACCGGCTCCAATCCGTCCGTGGGCGAGGTGGGGGGCCCGCTGCTCCAACTGGGCGCTCTTGGTCTCCTCGGTATCGTCACGTAGCCGTGGCGGGGCATCACGGGCGCGATCGTCGAGCTCGTGATTCCGTACGGGGTGACGCTACGGTTGTGAGGCAAGGTCTTGAACGCGGCCGGATATTGGTTCGAGGGAGAGCCGAACGCGGCCGTGGTGGGCGTCGCGTGCTGACTCGGAAGACGCGTGTTGTCCGGCGCCGTGGACGCCTGGCTAGTCGGCGATGCGCCCCGGCCCCCGGAGAAGGCCAACAAATCCGGCGGATACTGGCGATAGCTTCCGCCTCCTCCGCGGCATAAGGTGCCTGTCCCGCTCTCGAGCTCTGGCGTCGCTCGTTCTTCCCTCTCGTCGTCGCCGACGCCGCCGATCACCCCGCTGCCGACACCGCCACCGATACCATCAGCTGCCAGAACATAAACAAAAAAGAAGGGCGAACGTTAAGAAAGAAAAGTGAAAGACGCGATAATGATAATGAAAGAAAAATGGAAAGAAAAAAAAAAAAAAAGAAAAAAAAAGAGGAGAGTATAATCATCGCCGAATCAATCAAGGGAGAATCAATCTGGATAATAATAATGTGCGTAATAATAGGGGTTGTAATGAGACGAGAACGATACGTCTTGCGGTCTTTTTCCAGTTGAATCTAGTTGCAATTTGATACAAGTGGATTCTGAATTCTTGCGCTATGTGTAACCGCGAAACGTGAGTTATCATGAATCGAATGAAAAAAATGATCTGAAATTCGAGAAAGTTTTTCTTTTTTTCATTCAGAAAATATATAATTATAGAGTTAAATTCAGTTTAAACACCACCCAAATACCATGGATCATTTTGACTCACCACGTGTCATTTAAAACAATCAAGTAATAATACAAAGTCACGTGCAAGTAAATTTAGAAATGTTAGTATAAAAAAAAAAATTAAGGTTTAAACTTAATTCTAAAACGTATGTAATAAAGAGTATCGTAATAAAGTTGTTATCAATCCCTAACATCTGTTCCTACTTCGAACTGCAGCATTCGATACTACAAATATTCCTTTTCAAAGTATTCGAAGCGAAACGTTTCTCGAGAAACGTTCTTCTTTCAAACTGGACAGACGTCTTACGCTCCTCCCATAACTAAAACGTTAAATTCGCAATTCGTCGAGAGCCCGATAATGATAAAAAAATATCCAGGTTTGATACCTTCATTTCCAAGGAACTACGTCAAATATCGTGTACCACTATCGAGGAAGATTATATAATATACAAGAGCTGTCACGGCTTATATCTCGAAGACAGGTAAATCGATCGTACCCTTCGAGATAAAATTTCATCGTCAGAAAAGTGGGTCGTGATTCTTATATGTTTCGCTCCTGCTTCGAAGCTATTATTTAAACATCGACCGAGACTTCAAACCGCCCCCTCCCCGTGTAACGAATCTGTCAAGAAAATGAAATGCAGATCGATATCGATGTATTACATTATATACCTACTTAGTATCGTTCATATTTCACTCAGATATTATCTATGCACAAGTATTCTCAACTGGTTGTAACGCAAAGCTGGAAAGATAATTATCGGATCCTTAGACAAAGGATTCGTTATTTTCGATCGAATCCCAATATGAAAGATAACCGTTTGTATCGTATCTATAATTAAGTTCACAGACCAGTTCCGCGTATTGCAATTCTATCTTTGCCATCCCTTAACGGCTTGCTTATATCGCGTGAAACATCTTGGATGGCGTGTAAACTAAGACCGGTAATCGTAGAAATTTTATCGGAGCTCGTATTTTTCACTTACTCGAATCCTGTTCAATAGGAGAGGAGAAAGTAGGGCAAGGATGTGAAAAGAAAAAGATTGCGCAACCTTCCGGATACAAAGGGGTATCGGTGTGCACGGAGGTAGTTGAGATGCGGAAGGTGGCTGTTTAGATATGAGATCCTCGACAATTTCAATTACTGTCTTTGAAAGTGCACGGAGAAAGAGACGGAGCGACACGGAAAATCGCATACGTGTGAGTAAGTAAACATGTAGTTTGCGGCGGGAATATGCATGAATCGTCTCTATCGTTCTCGATAAAACGGCAGCCTGCTAATTCAGAGGGGAACACCGCGTAATGATTATTACTCTCCCTTTGTTGGAGCCGAGGCAAATGTTTCCAACCGCGCACTTTCCTTTTCCTTTATCGTTTTAATCACCACTGTATGCGTACACAATCATGAACTCCTCTCCCATTGTTTCCCCTCATTGTATTTTCATTATTCAGAGACCGACCAATCGACTCATTTACTTTCTCGATCTTCCCTTCTTCCTCGCCTTGCGTTTCGTTCCTTTCTTTGTATTTTCTTACGGTATCTATTCACGGTATTTAGGCGCCAGAGATTGAGCTATAATGTAAACGCAATATATTCTGCTTTTCTCGTTGATCGCCATTATTATCGTCATCGTCGCTCTCTACGAGAAGATTATGTACAACGACGTCGCCACGATACGAGCAACCGTATGACTAAATCTAAACAGACAAAAATAGTACTTCGATTCTGTTCGACGCGTCGACGTTTATAATAGAATCTGTCCATTCCGTTTGATCGATCGATGTATTTACAAGTCTATCAAAATAATCGTTTCTCGAATACGTCCGTGAAACACGGCGATTAGATTACGTCGTGTCTTAATTAACGACCACCAGACAGAGGCATTCCGCATGCATCGTGTTTTCTTTCCGGAAAAACAAGATTTTTCGCGAAGAGAGGAGGGGGAGAAAGAAACACTATCGATAGCGACCAACGACGCAACGACGAATGCCTTTCTCTTTCTATTTCTTTCACGCACACACTCTCGCTCCGCTCCTTTCTCACTTCCTTTCTCTCTGTATCGTCACATGCTACACGCTCTCATTAATCTTGCAATAGTCTTGGTCGATACTCGCTAACCTAGGATCGATGGCGCCTCATTTATCTGGCACAAGAGGGAGGGATTACCGGAACCTCGCCAGCATTAATACGATCTACACGATTGTCTTAAAGTTAAATACATCTCTCTCCATATATGTACAATTCGATTAATTCTATTCCGCCCCTTAATTAGCGACGATAGCTACGATACCGAACGAATGTTTTCGAAGGAAATCGGAAGATTAATGATCCGAGCGTTAACAATATCTAAATTGGATTTCGTTTCGGCGTTACCCCCGTTATTGGGGAGGGAAATTCCTTTGTTCGTGTACACCCGTTGATTGATCTCCGTGTCAATATCAGCGCAGGATGATTCTGCTACGAATACGTTGCATCGCGAACACAGAAGGTGTTGTACACAGAAATGAACAGAGGATGTAGTATCTCAACATTTGTCAATTTTTCGCGATGTTTCATTAAAGAAAATATAACAATGAATATAATGTTGAACATAATATCTTTTTTTTTTAATTTTTGTTCTATTGGAAATTGTAATGTATTATCACGGATGAAATGTGTATATTTAAAGTGTTAAAATATTTAATCTTATCTTTAGACATTAGTTTGATTTTTGGAGTTTGAGAAAGATTGGGAGTTCTTTTTCTTTCTTTTTTTCTTTTTTTCAAGAAAATTTAAAGATAAAAAAACGTTCTGGATGAAAAAGTTAGATTGAACGTTACGCAAAAATTGACGCTTTACTCTTTGAATAAAACTTTCGATTTTTTGGTCAGTAGATGTCGAGATAAAAACGAGTATGTAATTAAGCTACTATTGGCTTAGTTAAAATTGACTTCTAATCATAAATTTCCGTATATTTCGTACATTTCTAGTTTACTGTTCGCTAACGTAATAAGTGAAAGAATACTTCCTGGAAGAAATATAACAATTCTTTCTTTTTTATTATTCTTACTTTGCATAGAACGCGCTACGCGACTTTTTCTGTTATATTCTTTTTTTACGATTCATAATAAAACAGCCAATAGAAAAATTCCGAAGTTTAGCTACATAACTGTAATTCTTTCATAGCAAAAATTTAACAATTTAAAAAATATTCTCTTTATCCTTTATTCTTATACTCGAATTAACTTCAAGCCTCGTCGTTAACTCAAAATTTTCAAAATATCTTCCAATTCCAAAAAAAAAAAAAAGAAAAAAGAAAGACATCTGCCTATTAGATATCGACACTCGGATCAATGGAAAGTTCAAAAGTTTGTATCCCAAATATCTATCGTAAAGAAAACAAGCGTAAAGAAGGATCGCCGAGTTCACACTCGGAAATCCATTACTCGTTCGATTTCCTCGTTTCGTGCTCGTGCAAGTTGCACGCGAGGCGAGCCACCGAGCGAGGCATCGAGCGGTCGTCCAAGCGTAATCGCCGGTCGGAAGCTAACAAATGGTTAGTAGCTAGCACCTTGCCACGCACTGTTTAGTAATGTAGGCAGTGTACTGACCGAAGACCGAGTCGTTGTCGAGCAATGTACGATTCAGCTCCGTCATCTCGGTGCCGTGCGACGTCACCGAAGGCGCCTCGTACCGCCTGGGTGGCTTCACCACGGGATTTATGGTCGTGATGAGGGACTTCTCCTGTTCGCCCAGGCCGTGGTGCTCCATCGAGGCGGCCTCTAGGCTCTTCTCGTCGTGCCTGATACGACGGCGACGGCAGTAGCACACGCAAAGGGTCACGGTGACGATCAGAAGCAGTAACGCGGTCACGCCTAAGCCGAGGGCGAGGGGCAGACTGATTATGTTGTCCTTGCCGCCTAGGGCGTCGCCTGCGATCGTCAGGGTCACGTTCTTCTCCGTATTTCCGCCCGGACTTTTCGCCAGACAGACGTAATCACCCTTGTCCGAGTGTGCAACGTCCGGTATCGTGAGGTTCAGCCACTCGTGGTTAGATTTCAGGATGTAGATTTTCTCGCCGTTGTGCCTTCTCGTGTGATTGTTTATTACTCGCGACCGATGGACCCAAGATAGCTGAAATTAAACATGGAATATCGTATCGTATTTTCGAAGATGTTTTTTTTATTTTTTTTTATTTTTTTTTTTATGTTTATTGGAATGCGATTGCATTTTTGTAGATCTCGATTTTTTTCTTCTAGGGGTTGTTGGATATGAATTTGAGATTATAATTTATCATTTTATGGACTATGGATGGAACAGTTATGGGTTATAATCGTTGGCTAAGCGTTATCGAGCAACGCATTATGTCATTTATGTCACTATGTATGCTAGGTGACGTTATTTTAGCTTTGTATACCGGCAACGTGTGCAAGTACGTGCGAGTGAAAAGATTGTAAGGATGTTCTTAATTTTCAGTTTTCATGCTGTAGAAAATTCGAAAGCAGTTCGTTATTGCACGCAAAGGTTCGCGTAACTACGTTCCCCGTTTCTACGATGATATTTCAAAAGACCGCTATTTTCTCTTTCTGATCTTTTGAACCTTTCGCTTTCTACTTGGCCGCGTGTCATTCTTCGCGTAGTCAAAGAATTTTCGTTAAATCAAGGAAATTTCGTGACACGGTTTTCAATTAACGGTTCACACGGACTTCGCCAACTGTCTAGAATAATTATTATACAGAAATAAATATTATTGTCTTCAAAATCTGCATCTATTAAAATATGAAATTGAAATAGAATTAATACAATGGTTCATGTAATGCTTCTAATATTTTTAAAAATATAGAATGGAAAAGAATATCAAAGGAAATTAGTACTACAATTACTTACTCGTTCTTTATACAAAAATAACACAATAATCTCACATACAGTACAAACGTAATAAGTGATTACAATTAAAGAAGGGCAGACATTTAAAAAAAAAAAAAGCATATTTCAATAGGAAAATTAGAAAATAACGAGATTTATCGTTTAGAAGGTTTCGATCTGACTCCTCCCAACACGGGTTCAACCTTGCAATCTTTTCAACCGACCTCTAACCTCTGTCTCGAGTCAGATTGCACCGTTTGCAAGTTACTGTGGATTACCGCAATCAACGTTTCTCTCCTCGACTTAACCGCGTGCCTCGCTTTATAATATTTTACCGTCTCCATTCTGTTCCTAGTCCACCCCTTTAAACCCCGTTTCCGCCGTTTCCACGAACGAAAAATTTGGATAACGTAAATATAGACCGTCTTACCTGCGGCCGCGGGATCCCGGAGGCCCTGCACCAAAAGGTGACGTTCCCCTTGCCGACCTCGACCTTCACCGACGGCCCGATCGTGAATATCTCCGGCCTGCAAGCGAACTCGTCGCTGCTGATCTCGTCCCACATCTTCCCTGCCAAGCTCTCCGGCTGCTGGCACGTTGTAGGTTTCGTGTACAGTTTCTTTTCTATAGTCCAATCGCGAAACCTCTTCAAACGGCAGTTGCAATTCCACGGATTGTTGTGGAGCTCGAGGCTGCCAAGTTTGGGCAACGTGTCGAAGCTCTGCACCTTCAACGCGCTCAGATTGTTCGCGTCCAGGGTCAACGAGCGTAACTCGGGCAGATTGCGAAACGTCTTGTCGTCTATCCTTTCAAGCTCGTTGTTCGACAACTCAACCTTCTGCAGATACTTGAGATTGTGGAACAGACCGTTCTCCAATACCTTCAGCTTGTTGTCGTTCAACAGCAACACCCTGAGCCGTTGAGTCTCCTCGAACGTGCCCGGGTACAATGTTCCAATGTTGTTCGCCGACAGATCGATCTCGATCACGATCTTCAGACCGTTGAACGCGTCCGTGTGGATCAACTCGATCTCGCATTTTCGTAGCACCAGCTTCTGAAGATTGACCAGATGCACCCGGCTGAACGACTCGTGCATCAGGTACGTGATACGATTCCCGGTCAGATCGAAATTCTGGATCTCGGGCGATAGGCCGACAGGTATCTGAGAGAGATTCTGCCGGATGCACTCGGCGGCCTTCTTCCCGGAGATCCATCTGCACTTGCACGAGGATGCACACTGAGCCGTCCAATATTCCTGGCTCCAACACACCACCACCATTAGAGTCGAGTAAAGTAACAGTTTCGCCGTTCTTAGCTCCATCCCGAGGATTTCTGTTAACAAATGAAACACGACGGGGCCTAAGATTAGAACCTGCTCGGATGGATACGCACACGGGTGTGTGTGTGTTTCCTTGTTCGAGGTGGAAAATGGGATCGGATATAATTTAATCGCTTGGCTCTGTTTAGAAGAGTTTTCGCGTACTATTTTCGAATCTTTGTTCGGTTTCATAGTCGAGGAAGGGAAAATTGTTAATGTTAAACTGTATCACTAATCGCGTATATATATATCGATAACGATGTAAAAAAAAAAGATAAAAAGTATTTCGATTCGAAAAAGAAAAACCTAGCTTTTGATATTATCGCGCGTAGTTCCCTTTTACGGAAGATTAAATGCAAGCTGTGCGATGATATATGGAGATTGCTAAAAGCTTTCAAGGTATAATTTCAATATACGAGGCTAATTCGAAATCTTTATAGCCTGATAACAAGTTAGATATTTATATCTCGTTCGTTAAGTTGCGAATTCTTTTTAACCATCCAACGATTTATCGATCTTGTAAAAAATTCTTCTTCGGTATTATATTTTCGAAACTTTAATGTCGTTCGATAATATATTGCAATTTTGAAACTGCATTATTACGTTATAATTCAAAGTATACAATTTTCTTTTCTCTAACAACAAATTAATTACCCACACGCAATTCGATGTCAATCCCATGTGCAATAACCGCAAGCTATTAACCTCGTGCAACGAGCCGCCGTACAACACGTCGTCGTCAATTAGTATTTCTTGCGTATAATCCTTCTCCGCGGGGTATTAACAGGCGGTGGGATCTTAATTAAAAACATTTTTAACTGGGAAGATCCGCGGCAAAATCCCTATCCCCCTCCTCCCAGGACAGTCGTATCGAGGACGAAACACGGTTAACAAAAAAAGAAATTCAACTTTCCCCCTTATCACTGAACTCCACGAGTGCAATACTTTCGACTACTACCTGCCTGCATCTCCCTTTGTTGTGCTTCCTTCATTCCCGCCCCCCCCCCTCCCTCCCCTTTCGTGTCTTCTTTCCCCTCTTTCCGACCTTCAGCTTTTCTTTTCTTCGTATTCCTTGCCTCGTTTCGTTAATCTCGAACCAAGTCGTGGAAGGTGGCCAACCCGCCCAGGGCTGTTGGTAATTTAACTTAATATCGTTTCGGTGTGTATATACACCCCTTCCCTTTCCCCTCCCTCCCCTCCGCTCGTCGGTGAACTTAAATTAATACAACACGACGCCGAGCACAGCACACACTTTAACCCTTTTATTATCGTCCGGGAGTTTCGAGGTTGTGCATCAAATTACTCTCTTTCCGCCGGTGGAAGGGTACCGGCGGGCACAATTCATTTTCAACCTCCCCCGTTGGGGGGTAGAAGAAGGGGCGGAAGAAGAGGTCGTCGGGGAAAACGGCTGAGCCCGGGCTGAGCACAACGACGACGACGACGACGACGACGACGACGAGGACGACGACAAATCGTGCCTCAGACGGGTTCTTACAATTTGAATTTATTTCGAAACTCCCTGCAGAAAGGAGGGAAAGGCGCGGAGAAATAAGGGAGGAGGAGGAGGAGGAGGAGGGTACGTATTTTCCCTCCGGCGAATGTGAAGGCGACGAGGAGGAGGAATGGCGTGTAAACGCGCGGCTGGATGCATCGATTCTTTCCGCGGGGTTATACACCCCTCGGTACACGCGTTATCACCGATTCCCAAAAGGGAAACGAGAGGGGAGGGGGGCAAATACGAGGGAGCTCGAACAAATCCCAATTTGGTTATCGTTCGTTTCGCCATTGTGACGAGGGTTGTGCCATGGTCGACCTTTATCAAATAGCCACGCAGCTTGCGTGTACCCCCTTGATCAAATATTTATAACGCGATCGTGTAATTGGTTGGCATCAAGCGTTGCACATCAAGCTTGACTTTCGTTCCCGACTATTTTCGGCTGGGATAAATGGGGTGTACAGGGAGCAACAGAATTTGGTATACGAGAGGATCCTCCAGTGAGAAGGATGTTTAGGAGGGGCGGGGAGGAAATTTTCTCTCTGAGGGCGAGAAGGAAGATTTATTATTTTTAAAATGGTATATTAATTTGTTTAAGGGTTAATTTTGCTTTTCCAAACTTTTTCAAGCTTCGTTTCAAGGGATTGTTAGAAATAATCATAACACCTTAGTGTCGATTTTAATTTATTATTTGTATAATTATTCTATTCGTATTATTATCACGAATTTTTCTTGTGAATAAAAGGGAATACCGTTGTTTAAAAATATTCGTCCATTGGAATTGTTTTTTTTTTTTTTTTTTTTGCGAATAATACAATACCAAACAACGATTGTTCTTTTGTCTCTATTACTATAGAGATTTCCCTCTCGTTGCGTATCGAATAATGTCGAGCGTTAATCTCTCTCGATAACGCCGTTTTTTTTTTTCAATTCCGGCTCGATTATCACGTAACACCAATTCGCTGTCAATTAAGACGGAATTTTACGATATTTTTATATTCCAAGCCTGGCAGACAGTTTATTGGTAGCGCGATAAATAATGCGATTCGAAGATTGCGCCAATCCTCGTTGTACTGATGATTGAGAGACGCGCAATAATCCTTTATTTTGTTTCGATAGAGCTGTATTAATTATAATTATTATTTTATTATATTGAAATATACGATGTTGTTAAGTAAAGTTTGTAAAAAAAAAATTATATTATTGCAATGAAGAAAGAAATATTACTATTACGCAAATAAACTAAACTTTTCGAAGTGAAAACGCTATAAAAGAAGAAATTAAATTATTACATTTCCTCAACACATTCTTTATCATTCATATGATACTATTGTAACAGTAATTCAAGTAACAGTCAAGTAACATTATTTTATTTACGAATCAGAATACCGAGAGTAACGTTCAAAGAGACGAAGGAAGAGACAAAAGTTAAACGCAAAGATTGCAATACAGTCTTGACAGAAAATTTTCTTGCTCGAAATTAGTTTCCTAAAGGATAAAGTTAAGAGAGAATACAAGAGTGTATATAAATTCTTTTGAGCGATAAAATCTTCAACGAATCCTTTACTGATAACTCGCAAGAAAAAAAAAAAAAGAAAAGAGAAAGAGAAAAAAAAAGAAATTGAAAGATCATTCGAAACCACTATCCCTATCTCGGGATAGATATATCGAGATATATTTCGATTTCAAAAAAGGTACAGTTTAGTATTTTGTAATCGGTAATAAGATTCATTGAATCGATTAAGCCGGTGCACACGCAAACAGGAGAACACAACGGCCGAAAGATACCCGAAGGAACCCTCTTCTGGGTATTTATTTCATCCGGGAATCGAGATCCTTCGGGGAGTACAACCCCCTCCCCCGTCTCTTGGATCGCGAGAAGTTTCTACATGCACGGGTCGCGTGCAATTCCTTGCCCTCGTGCTGAACAACTTTTTGAAGTCTCCGCCCGTAACGGAAAACTCATGGTTCCCGTAGTTCACCCCTCCTCTTCCTTACCCCCGTCGGACTTTATCGTCGAAGAAACTGGAGGCACGATTCTTTTGTGCACCGGGATATGCGGCGAACCATCGCTCCGAGACAAAATAAATACGGTAGTGCGCTTCTTCTTTGCGTGTCCCATTTTTCTGAGGTACATCGTTCCTCGTGTTTTTTTTTTTTTAATTTTTTCGTCGTCCTCTTCTTTCTTTGTCCCTCCCCTCTTCTTCTCGCATAATTTTTTTTTTTTCGCTTCACTGGAAATTTCTTAGCGCGAGCTTTTTCCCTCCAATTTCCCTCCGTTCAATTTTTTGTCGTTACATCATTCTTTACATTTCTTTCCCGGTTTTCTTCTTATCGTTATTACTTTTGAAATTTTCACTGTAAGTTTCTTCTCTTTTTGCTTACTTCTTCTTCTTTTTTTCTTTTTTTATTATCTTCTTTGATTTCTTGTGTATTCTCCCTTCAATTTTCTTCTCTCTTTTTTCTTTTTTTTTTTTTTTTTTTTTTTCATTACTTTATTCTCCACGTTTCTATTTCTTTCTCTTTTTTCGTTTACTTCTTATTTTCTTATTTCTCTTCTATGTATTTTCTTTGCTCTAAAGATTCTCATCGCGAGTTTTTCTCTCCTCTGTGTCGGTTTCACCCGATCCTTCTAACGCGTATCGATCGCCAGCATTTGACTTGTAAATATCCGGCCAACGAGAACATTAGATATGCATAAGGCGAAAGTAAAGAGTTTATACATATAGCTTCTGTGTATATATATATCATATAACCTCGGGGCCTACATGAGAAAAAAAACAAATATTGTGACAATATTCTAACAAATATTTTACAAATGTCAAGAATATATGATCTTATTTGAAGAAGAATGGAAAGTTGAATTGAAAAAACATCTTTAATATTCAAGTTTCAAGAAGAATTTTTTTCTTCAAACTTTCGAAAGATATTTTAAAAGATAGAGGAATAATAAATTTCGAAAATAAACGTGAAGAAAACGATACTTTGTACGTATAATATTATATTTCTGATTTAAATAATAATAAGAAAACTTCGTTTCCAAAAAATTAAATAAAAATTCTGTTCTCTTTATCAATTAAATCTCACCTACCAAATCCATAATTCTAAAACGTCCTGTTCATAGAGAGGGTGAGAAATAGGGAGCGTGAATTCTGAGGCGGTTGCAGGAAAATGAGACAGAGGTAGACTGGTGGTGGTGTCCTTTGGAAACACTGCCCGGAAGGGAGCCACTACGTGCCTTGTTCCAGAACGTGCACACTCGGAAGGAGTTTGACGTGGACATACGTCCTTTACGTAGGCACGCGTGCATGCAAGTCCAACCCTCTCACGATGCTTTGCATAGACAGGGAAGAGGTCGCGTTTTTTCCCCTTCGCCGGTCAGAATTTCAAATTTTAAATCTTATCAATCAAAATCGCCTGGTGGTCACGTTGCATCTTCTTTTGCTGTTGCGTTTTAATAAAATCTTCATCCATCATTTTTGCCCATCACGTTTAAACAAGATTGTTATCCCTTAAAAA